TTATGATCAAAACACAAAACTTAATCAAACTAAAATTCACAACAAAGAAAAAGAAAGTGCGAAAATAATAAAGGAAAGAAGACACCAAATTTATTGTGGTTCGGTCAAACCTTGACCTACGTCCACTCCTCGAAGGCACCCTCCAAGTATTGCACTAAACTCAGTGTCTCTCCTTTAGCCCTCATAGCTAAGCGGAGAAGCAGTTACAAAATCACTTCCATTTTCCCCGGTGCGACGGAGTAGCCGGGCCCTTTGACACCAAAGAAATCTTCTTCTTCCCAAAACTTCCCTCAACATGAGCCTTGAATCTGATAGTACTATGGTGCAAGCTCGCCATAACAACTGTGTGGAACCCCCTCCACACTCCCTTGATCAGATGTCATTTGATTAGGTTTTGAAGTGTTTAAAAATTCAATGGAAAAGGCTTTCAGGACTTGGACCTTTGGCCTTAGATTTAATTTTGGATTGATCTAAGATCTAAATAGATCCTAAGGTCTAGATTAATCTAGGGTCCTAGATAGATCCTAGGGTCTGGATTGGTCCTAGTGACCTCATACAAAAATGAGATCAACAATCATGTGAATTAATAGAGGATAATATCAAACCACTTTATTTAAAGGAAAGCCCATCGACCCACCATCTTGTGCAGGTCAATCAGTCTCCAACCAATGGGTCAACCAATATTTACTTATTTGTTTCACACACGCATATTATTATCACAACACTATAACAATAATAGTGACCAGCTATAACTCAAGCATCTATCCGCATCAATTTGTAATGCTTTGCAATAAATAATGTATAATTAAATTTAATTAAGAAGATGCCAAAATATTATAACGGCAGACAACAAAGAATCATATTAGGCAAAAATACACATTTTCAGAAAATTACCAAAATACCAAGAATTATAAAAATTATATTTTAAGATTTTTATTATTATACACTATTATTTGTATACATTAAAATAAATTCTCGGGTAGATAGAAATTATTGTATTTTCACAAATTTCTGATGAAAAATCTAAAATATATACTCAAAATGATCATAATCATAATCTCTATAGCATATAAAAAATTACACTGTGAAAGTATTATATATATAAAATTATTCGTGTTTTCGGTAATAAAAACATAAATTTAATTAAAAAAACAAAAAATATAAAATCTTTAAAATCAAAAATAGGGTAAATGTTCCTTACAATGAGATGAGTAACTTTTCCAATAGGCCGGACTAACAAAAATTGCACCGTGACCTCTAAATCTCATTTTTCTTTTCTTTCTCCTCACATTCTCTTAAATTTACTTTTTCATTTCTCTATTAAATGAAATGAATTGGATAGGCTTTTAAAATATTTTAGACTTTAAGTGACTTAACATATTTTCATTAAAATAATAATTTAATATTATATTATTAATTTAATCAATTTTTTAGTATAAAATTAAAATAATTTATTTTAAGCCTTCAAAAATTACAAAAAAATATTATAAAATAAATTATAACATTTAAAAAATGTCAATAAAATTAGCTTGCATTGTGGTATTGCATACAAGGGAGGAGGAATAAATAGAATGAAACAACATCTAGAAGGAGTTAAGGGAAATATAACAGCTTGTAGGAAGGTTCCACATGATGTTTGATTTCAAATGCAGGAGAACTTAAAGGAGATTTCAAAAAGAAAATAACAAGTACACGAGGACTTAGATAATACACCATTTCCAATAGATGCTAAAGTAGAGGAAGGAATTCTTCTTCCCTACCTAAATCATAATCCTTTAAAGCATATCTTTACTTCAATAACAAAATCAGGTTCCAACCCTTCAATTAAAAGTGTCTTGGTATCTAAGGAAGCAGTTCACCATACAGACATAGCTGTAGCAAGATGGTTTTTAATTGTTACATCCCTTTCTATGTCTTAAATTCACCATATGCATAAAAAGCTATGGATGTTACAATTGTTATATGTTATGGTTATAAGCTCCCCACTTACCATAATATGAGGGTTAACCTACTTAAGGATTATAAAGAGGAGTGTAGGTTACACATTAATAACTATAAAAATACTTAGAAGGACATAAGTTATACTCTCATAGTAGATAGATGGACTGATGATAGGAGTAGAATATTAATAAATTTTATAATTTATTATTCCGTGGTGTTTCTTTTTTTGAAATCAATGGATACATTAGATATTATTAAGGATGCTACAAACTTGTGCTCCTTATTTACTGAGGTTATTAGTGGGTAGGGAAGAAAATATTGTTTAGCTTGTCATTAATAATGTGCTAATTATAAGAAAGTAAGAGAGTTATTACATAAAAGATTCAATAATATCTATTGGTTATCTTATGATGCACATTATTTGAATTTAATTTTAAAAGATTTGAGCAGCATGCCTCTCATAAAGGACTTGCTGGCAAGGAAAGCATCCAAGGTGACAATTTTTACTTATAATCTTAGATTTGAAGTTTTGGAATGATTATTTAATAATTTAAAGATAATAGGTCATTTGTTCAGGTTATTATGTATTATTAACTCAGATGAGAACCATCAATTGGATATTTATATGATGAAATGTATAAGGCATGGAATGTAATCAAAGCTATATTTAGAAATATTAAAAGATTATATAATCCATTCACCAGTATTGTTAAAAGAAGATGTGATACTCAATTGAGATAGGACATCCATACAACAGTATTCTTTATGAATCCTCAATTTCAATTCGCAAGGAGAATTAGTATCACAAACCAGAAGTTATGCAAGGCCTTGTTAAACTACTTAAAAATAAGGACATTTGTCATAAGTGTTGAGTCTAGTAATTAGGTTGTTAAGTCTAAGTTAATGTCCCAAAGGCTACCAAGAGGGGGGGTGAATTGGCAGTTTAAAAAATTTAAGCCCTCTTTTAAAATTATGTT